TGGTCCACTTATGGAATTGGCTCAAGACAGAAGAGGGCAATTTAAAGAAATGAAATTTATCACTGAAAACAGAGCATCAATCACCTATGAATTACCACTAGCGGAGGTGATCTCTTGCTTCTTCTTTTTTTGTCACTCCACTCTAAAGTCTCTATATGTACTTATATTTAATGAGTTTTGGCCTCTCTATATATACTTACATTTAATTAGTTTTGGCCTGTTTGCATCTCACTCTATCTGTGAATATCAATTTTGCAGATGGTTGGTGATTTCTTTGACCAGTTAAAGTCCAGAAGTAAGGGTTATGCTAGCATGGAGTATGTTTTTATTGGGTAAATACCTATGAAGGCTTTGTTTCATATAAATAAGCATATGGCTTTTGCCTTATTTTATCCATTAGATACGGGAGATATGCCTAAAGTTGTGACTGAACCGGTATGCTGTCGTTTTTAAAAGATAACCAAATATAATTGTAACTGCAGGCGTTCCATTTTGACCTCTATCTCTTTTCTTTTCATAATATAAAATATCTGCTGGTTCATGTAAGTAAATGCGGCATTGTTCTAAGTGGCCTTTCAGTGTACGTGTCATTACTAGCAATATCAAACTATTATCCAATAGATGATGCGTTTGTTGACTTTTAATACATTTGACTTTGACGAAATTCATAATACATTGGCTGAGAGTTTAGAAACTGTCAATGTGTTATAATACTCTGTTTGCTGACTTAGGTACACAGAAAGTGATTTAATTAGACTTGACATACAGATAAATGGTGATCCAGTGGAACCATTGTCTACAATTGTTCACAAAGATAAGGTAATTTTTTAACCCTGCCGAGTAAATGGACGTTACCTCATCATATAAATAGTCCTTAGCTCTATGCAATGGTTGGAAATAATGCTGTTGACTTTTCTATTTTTTCTATATATTTTTTGAAGTCTCTCTCCTGTTCTTGATTGCCAAAGCTGACTCCGTCCCGGATTTTCTTCATTTTGCCAATCTGGAGGCATTCATTTCCTGAAATGCTAATGTTTAAATACGGTGGTCATGCATAGAGAAAGGATCAAAGTAATTCCTAATTTTAGAATTTGTCAACCCACTGAGTGGAAATTTTTTGAGGGTGTTAAGAGTCAAGGCGAAAGGAAATGGACTTGCACATAAAAGTGAGATACTTTAGAATAGTTGGTAAGGTTAGTTGGCAAAAAGAAAGAAAGAAAGAAAGAAAAAGAAAAAAAGAGAGTAGTTGGTAAGGTTTGTATGCATAGTTTGTTTCGTTGGTTAATAAGAAAATGTTTTGATATGCAGACTACAACAACATCGAAACAACATAAGTTATATGCTTCTCAAACCTCTAATCTCACGATGTTCAAATCAATCTATTAGTAGTTATATCCATGTCTTGTCCCTTGCTTGGAAGTCTTGAGTCATCACCATCTCAGTCTGTTGGGTTCAAAATGGAAAAATTCAGGATCATTTCAATAGAGTTAGGATGAGAGAAAAGAATTCAAGAGTATTTTATTCATTGTACTCAAATATTTATGTAGAGAAGTTGACAACTTCTTTTATATTTTAATGTGCGTTTTATGAATTATTTTATAGATTTAAATCCCAGAACTTACAATATGTATTTACATATGACATTTACTTAGGAAGGATAAATATATCACCAAGAACCAAGTCACAAAGATATTTAGGGGCACAATACGTTAGTAATTGGCAGTTCTTGTTGACTTCATTCTATTCACTTCATGTTGAATGTATCTATGACATAAAAGCGCGGTTTTATCTGCAATTGGCTATCATTTCTAAGCACAGTATGTTTTGGCGTATATGAATGCTTGCCATTCATCACTATATTTGAAAGATGCCTTACAGTTATTAACTTTCCTGAATTCTTGTCCTTGTATTATCAGAAATTCAATTGAAGCTTAAATTTTCAGGCATATTCAGTAGGGCGGGCTTTGACTCAAAAGTTGAAAGAGCTCATACCACGTCAAATGTTTAAAGTTCCAATTCAAGTAAGATCTATACGCTCTTTACTCTTTCATGTATGATTCTTTAGGGGGCAAAAAAAAAAAAGTCTGACACTCCGTGTTCATGAGATTTCTAACTGGATATTTGGAATCTTTCTTTTCCCATTCAACTAACTCCAGCAACACATGCTGGCAATCTTGTGCCAGGCTTGTATAGGTTCAAAAGTGATTGCTAGTGAGGCTTTATCTGCAATAAGGAAGGACGTGTTAGCTAAATGCTACGGTAAGACAGACTGCCTAGGGTTTGGATTGTAATTCTTTTTCCCCCTCTCGAATAACTTTTACCTGGACTATTTAAGTCTTTCCTGTTCCTTTAATGTATGCATTTTGAGGGGAAATCCATGCAAATATGAAGAAAATAAGATTCCCTCTCGCATGATCATTATGTTCCCCATTAAATTCCTTACTCTATTGTACCTACCCTGATTCCTCTTTATTTATATTTTCTCTTTTGATATCATTGTTCTAGGTGGGGACATTTCAAGAAAAAAGAAATTACTTAAGAAACAGGTACTCCTCAAATTCTGTTGACTGTCATACTATCTTTTATGGAGTATTGAGGCCTGTTGGTGGCTCTGAGGCCATCAATCGATATTTTGCAGTTAGATAGGTGACTACTTGAAAGTTTCGTGTTCACGTGATAGTGTTTGGAAATGGAAAAAGATCAATTGCAATTTTGCATATTACAATAACTGTCGTCTCGGGCTCGGCTTATATTCTTTTAGGGGAGGCGCAAAATTATTTTTGTGAGAATGAGACGACAAAATCCGCATGCGTGATTATAGTTTTCATTCCAAAAATTTACATGAGATTGCCCCTATGAGTGTGCTGCCATTTGTGTAATCAGGCTGAAGGAAAGAAAAGAATGAAAGCGATTGGTAAAGTTGATGTGCCGCAAGAAGCCTTCATGGCAGTTTTGAAACTTGAAAAGGAGGTGATATGATTCCGTTTGTATGGCTTGCAGCATGATCTAAATTGGGAAATATGTCAGAATCTTGGTGTATCATAATTATTATTTTGGGAATAATGATCCGCATTATGTCTGTTTCAAGGGCAACCAGTTGCATTTAAGATGCTCCATTTCATTTTACTTTCGGCTCATGTGATGCTTGGGAATCTTGTCAAAACAAGCCGTTATTAGTAAAACGATTTCTCTACCCTACTCCATAGGATGCAGTTGAAAGAAGGGTAAGACACAGGAATTTTCTATAGTAGAAGCTTCTTTTAATAGATGACACACTTTTTCCTCTCTCCCCAATTCTATGTTATACTTTTATTTACAGTGTTAAAATTCGATTTCTTATTAAGAGATGCGTGGGAGACGATAAAAATAGACTCAAAGCTTCTTCAAAAACAAATTTCTCGGAAGTTTCGAATCGCATATCTAAATTTTTACCATTTCAACAAATCTCTAAGGTCTCGTTTATTATAGAACATTAAAAATAAAGAGTAAAGATTGAAAAGATATGTTAAAAAAAAGTGTTTATTATGAGTGATCATTTGTTATTTGGAATTGGACGAAAGAATTAGAGAAGACCATAAGAAGATGTGGTATTTTCTAATCCTAATTATGTAGAATCGCCTAATCTTATATAACAAAAAATTATTCATACTGAATACTTTAATGATTTTTTTCAATTACAATTCTAATCTTTACTTATCATTTTCAATGCACCTTACCAAAAGGGATCTAAGATCCCGTTTGATTAATACTCCCTCGCTTTCATGTTAGTCGTCACAGAAATGCTGTTATCCATGTTTTATAGTAGTACTTGTCAATTTTAGTTTCTAAGATTGCGTTAATCTTTTTATTTCCTGTTTTGCCTCTTGTTTATTTCTTGAGCGTTGTTCAATGCTTTTATTCGCGGAAGACTGAGGGTATTTAAAGAAGAAAAGGCTAAGCTTAGTTCCTTAAATTTGTAAGTGTATTTTCAATTCCTCAATTGTAATATTATTAGTTTCTTTTAATGAAAAATGCTGATTCATCAAACTTCAGTGATGACTGTCCAATTAAATGTTGATAAAGTTTATTTGCAATTTAATCTTGTTAATATATCTTTACATTGACAAAAGGTAACATTTTATATTTAAATTAAATTTGTCTCTTTTTCAAATTTAAATATCAAAATATTACTTTGCCGATATAAAAAAATATTGTATTAAAAATGATGTAGGCATTTTTGTCAGTATTTAACTGCACATTCATTGCTTAAATTTGATGACTGAGCATTTTTCATGGTGTTAAAATTGAGGTATTTTTATAAAATTAAGGGACTAAAATAAAGCCTGGGGTAAACATAAAAAATTCCGAACGTATACTTTTAAAAAAAAGAATATGATTAATTTTACAAAACCTGATGTTATTAAATGATCCCTTTTGTCTCCGTGAAAATACGGAAGTAGACATGACGATGATGACGGAATAATATGAAATGGAATTAAATGTGTGGTGGACTTTTTTATAGAGTATTTAATAAATAGAAATGATATTTACAAGAGCAAAAGAAATTTCCTCCCTCAATATCAACAAAAACTTGGGGCTCTTCTGAAGAATCAAAATCCAAATTCAAATGCACACCAGAGGAACTGTCAGTTGCTCTCGGCCTACGCCGTGGCTATGATTTTTGGTTGAAATTCAATTTTGCTAAAAAATTTTAAACAGATTTTTAATTATTATTTATAAATATAAAATAAGTACATGAGAAAATGTCTCACTGGTTTGACCAATAGCTGATTGAGAAAACTACACAAGGCCCCAAAATATTACAAATAAGCACTCTATAAAAAAATATTGCAAAATAAATATTGAGACTGATGTTATTTCTTACCAATATAAAAAACCAATCATAATTTACAATTCAACTCTAGAGTTCTGCAAGTTCTTCATAAATTTACAAATGCTATGTCTAAAATAGCATTTGCCACGGCAAATGATCATCTCCTTCCAACATGTTTAAATTTACAAATGCTATGTCTAAAATAGCATTTGCCACGGCAAATGATCATCTCCTTCCAACATGTTTTTGACATCAATTTACAAAATGCTTCAGATTAATTACTCTGCCCAACAAGGCTCAAGAGGGAATACTTGACCATCAGATATATCTTCCCATAGTGCACCGCAAGCCTGGCTCCAGACACAACCCAATACCCCGGTGAATTTTCTGGTCCTCTCACCCTCTCCGTCGTGTCAACAAACCTCAGATGCTTCGGTGGGTACACCGGCATTGGGGGCCCTGTTGGATACAGGGCAGACGAAACAGTCACATCGCCTGGCTTTGGATGACCCTTTCGTTTCTCTCTAGTGAATAATAATCCACAGAATCCTAATGACTTGTGGCTCAACTTACTGAGATTGGGCTCCCATTCTGGTTCACTCTGCAAAGTAGATCCGAGTATTTTGGAGAAGCGCAGGCGTAGAAAGAGGCACTTGTTCTCAACTTGTAACTGAGCCCCAGTGACTATGGAGAGAGGATCATTTGACTCTACAGGTGCAGTGCAGACACATGCAAGGCTATTCCACCAAACTTTTTGATGGAATGTGCAGTTATAAGAGTTACATGACAAATAAGCATTTTCATTGTCTGAAAGTGGGAAGGACTTTGGTAGAGAAGCCAGATGCTGCAAGTGAATTGCCAAGCGGTTGCTTCTTCTGCCTTCCAACTGTAGCCTTAGTCCTACTACGGGTCTGTTACCCACATCGACCTGCCATTGAAGGGAAAAGGACATGTCATATTTGGTGCTTTATTTATTTATTGTTTCAAAAAAATTTAAGTGAGTTAGGTCCTAGGGACTCATGGGGGTCTAGGGCCAGGGTATGCTTTTAGGCTCAAAACATATTTAAAGATCGCTCACCAATAAAGTTATCACATTGATAGTGAGATTCGAACTCACAATTTTGTTAGTTATAAACTGGCTCTGTATCAATTAGACTAATTCTTGTTGACTTTTATTTATTTATTTAGTTTGAGGTCTGTCATTTTTCAAAAGTTCCATCAAATCCAACTAATCTAAGGGTCATTTAGTTTAGCATTTTTTTCCCCCAAAAAAGTGATTTTGGTTAGGGGTGAAAGGGGGAATTGGATATGGGGAGGTGCTAAAAATAGTCTATCTTTAGCTTACTTTGACAAGCTAATCCTACTCAAACTTTATTATTTATCTCAGTTCCCCACAACTCTTCCCAACTAAAATCACTTTAAAAGAAAATTTCAACAAACTGGCCCTAAATGGACTCATTAAGGGAACAAAACTTTCTCAACACTTCTCTACGCACAAAGATTAAGCTTGAAATCTTGACTTATTTTCTCTATTGTTGTTACCATTGACATGAGGTCTCCCAGTTTTCAGAAGTTACATGTGTCCCAACTAATCTAAGTCAAACCAAGTTAACTCATCGAAGGGACAACACTTTCTAAAGGTTATTTTCTCTATCCACAAAGACGAGCTTATCACAAAAAAAAAAAAAAAGAGGATGGAGCTTGAGATGTTATTTAAACAAATCTAATTCATTAATACTCAAACAAGCATTAGTAATAGATTAATTTTTTCGGTTGACATGACATCGAAGTTCTCATTATTAGGATAGTTTCATGTGAGAGGGTATACTAGATAATATAATGAAATTAATACAAAATTCACTCTAAAAAACGCGGGGGAAGAATCAGAGATAAGGGAAGCACGGGAACTGCAGTTTATTAGTAGCGCCATGCAAGTGTACAAAAGTCGGGCTCCCACTAGCTGTTACTGTATGGCTCAACTCTTAAAAGAGAGAAAAATGAAAAATTCCAAACCACGCTTCCTCAACAAGAAGCAAATCAATTTACTGATTCCTTCTTTACAATATTGATGGGTGATGGCAAAAGGATGGAAAACAGGAAACAAAAGTACGTCACTTCATCGTCTTAGTCTCAGTATTCTATAGTTTGTACAAAGCATGGGAAAACAATTCAGATTCAGGAGAAATGGATGGAGAACTTACTGGAAATGTGTCTATGTAAAGCTTATGACCAAAGAAACTGAAGCTTAGCCAGGTGTTGAGTTGGTGCTTCCCATTAGATCCAAGACCCATGTCGGCTATCAAAGGAGCCCAGGCTTTTGGAAGTTGAAACCCTAAAAACTGAGAAAGCCCTTTGATTGGAGGTTGATCTGTTTCAGGAGTAATCAGCAGCTCAATTTCAGAGGCAGGTTGTTAATTGTTACATATCATCTTGAAGAAATCCAAATTAAAGCAAACGAGTTCATTGCTCACATCGAAGATATAGATTCATGGCATGGCTCAGAAATCCAATTGATCTAACACTGGATGGCACGAGGTAAATCAATGGAATAAGCAACATGGAGATGACATCGGGCCCTGAATCCACAGTACGAAGCCATTCCTTATGATTCAGTTTTTCAGTGCTTCCACCCTTCCTATAGCTTCTAATAATCACATCCTGCCAATTATCAAGTTGTGCTGCTCAATTCATGATAGGCACTACACATTACAAAGTATAAGGATCGAATTGTGAATTATACGATTTAGACCTGCTTTCGATTTAGCCATCGATTTGTTTTTTGCTTTGTGACTTGTGAATTATGATGAATCACCAAATATCAATCATCGGTCCAAATATTTTGGTTACTACATGGAAATTATGATACTACAGAAAGACCAAGAAGAAAAATTATTTACTGGATGAACAAATTTGTATTCAGCTAGCTGAATAACAAATTTAAAAGTCGCCAACCCAACCTCCAAGTTGCGCCAGGACAAGGTAAAAGAATACTCCCTTGTATCCTTATTGTGCAAGGCATTTTTCCTAGAAGAAATTTTCTTGTCCTAAATACTATCTCCTGCTCTTAATATAAGAGCTAGTTGGAGATTCAATTTAGTTCTAAATTCACTTTGTCTCCAATATTTGTCCATTTTGCCTCCCAAATAATCTTTATGATAATTGCATATGTTAAAGTGTCTATTAATAGTCAGTTTAAATGCACATGATTAATAAAGGTATTTGAAGGAAGATGTCATCCATTTATTAAAAATAACTAATTTAACTAATTTTTTCAATATTTACAAATTAGATATTTAGTTCTTATGTAAAGATGGAAGGTAGTATAAGTTATCAACGAGTTATTAATTGCTACTTTCCAATTTTACCCATGTTATTAATTAAGGTTTAGTGTTAATAAGCTCATTGAACTCTGTGTTTATCTATCTACATCATTTAAGCTGGAAATAAACTTAGAAAAAAAAAATTAATTTATGACAAATTTAATGTTTTAACTATCATTTCTTGATACATTGAGAATTAGTTAAGAATCCACCGTAATAAGGATGAGGGGGAGTATGTGCGCAATACCTCTTCATTGTAACGTATATCTTCAGAAGTCAGGTAGCTATTTTCTGCAGAATCCATAAACCTCATGTCAGCTTTATCCTTCAAAAGCTTTTGGAGCTCAGGAGGTTGGAGGTTCGATGAATATGATTGCCTCAAATATAACACATCCTTTCCTCCCATACTCACCCCAACTACAACATGAGTTCCAAACTCCTCTATGAACCTAGCATGATTGCATAGAAATTAGTGTTATCATTGTGAACTGTTCAAGAGTCGCCACAATTTTCAACGAAATCGTGTTCCATATAAACATAAATCTTTTCACACCAGGAAAATTAGTAATGTGCTAAGAGAAATTAGTACAAGAAGCTGTGGATACACTTCTTGCTAATGGAATCCAAGGACAACCAATAAGATACGGTCATAATAAGGTTTACAAGTTGCTTTTAGATGTAATTGAGGGTTTTCCTTCCAGCTTAAAATATAAGCATCAAAACTTTGAAGAAGCTCTACAGTTTGAATTTTTTTGATTATTTAATGCTTTTTCAAAAAATTTTATCCTTAATTTGTTATATGTTTTTTTCACTTATTTTTTTCACTCGTACTCTCTCTGCTCATTTTTTACTCATTCTCTCTTCCACTCACCCTCTCTATATAAATGATGATGTTTTAAGAAAATAAGTTGTAATTTTTATGTATTTGTTGTCTATAACCAATTTTAATGAATGTTTTGAATTGCATAAGTTAGTTATTTGATGTTTATGTTTTAAACCGGGAGAGTATGACGGTGAAAGTGGATAATATTTATGAGCACGAAGTTTTAAGTAAATGAAGAGAAAAATTCAACCTGCACAAAAGTTACTTTGTTCCTCTGGAACCAAATCATAGAACTAGCTATAGGGAATGTATTGAACAGAGCCAGAAAGTCTCACCTAGCCAAAGCATCAGGGTCCCATGTTGATGGAACAGCTTCTTTGACACGATCCTCAAGTTCTGCTCGATTTTTATTATCTAGTTCAATAGTATAGCTTTTGAGGAACCACCCATCATAAGCAAGAGATTTAATGCCGCCATAATCCTCAATCCAGCGATCAGATAGCCCAAACGAGGCAAGGAAATTCCCAGGCACCGGAGCAGTGCCTCCCAGGCTCAATTCCTGGTTGAAGTGCTCCTTCATCTAAAACAGAATACCAGGTCAAAAAAATGAAAAGAGGACTTTTGTCCCTTAAAGACAGACATGTTTGACTTGCTAAACGTGAATTTCTGCAACTATGTAAACCAACATACCTGCCGCGGGGAGAGAACATCGGACTGGATTCTTAGACATTCACCTCTAACACACTTGATAGAGATAGGGACGTTTGGAATTGAAACCCCACACGGAATCTCCAGATTATGGCTCTGTTCTTCATTGATCACTATCAAACTGGAACCCAACTTGCAGTTGTTGAAAGATATGTCTTTGGTAAGGTCAAATCCAAGGCCGATTGACTTAATAGCTTGCTGGGCTGCTTGAACACGTGAATCACTTGAAGCCATCGCTGGATCAGAAGGATTACCAGAGAAGGCATGTTTAATAAAAAGAAGAAACCGTTGTTTATTGTTGGCGGGGCGTTAAGAAGCTGCTCAGAAGCTTCTTTTTTTGTTGTCTGAAGCTGCTAAGAATTAACTAAGAAGCAAAACCAGGCATTTCCACTCCTTTTTCAAAGGACTTTAGAGAGGTTTTTGGGCTGATGGAGATACAAATGAGAGGGAATGGATTGTGAAGAATTTTGCAAATTTTAGATTTTGTTTGTAATATAATTTATATTATAAAATGAGGCTTATTTTTTAGATTACATGAGTATTATTTTTTCAACAGGGAGTCGTCCTCTGCTGGCGCGTTAATCCATTGATTTCCTCAGAATATGTCTGCGATGAATTTGAATTGCCATTGTGTGTGTATAAAATCAGCTTGAAAACCATTTTTGCCCTTCCACTAGGACAAAGAACCCCAGAATAAATGGAGGGACACTTTCTGAATTACATAACCTTCTTGTCTTCTACGGGTCCCAGAATTCCAGTAGTCTGAATCTGATGACCTCCTTCGCCAGATATTTTCTTCTGTGGCGGGAGCAGTTTGCCTCTCAGCCACTTCTTCGTCCCTTCCTGCTTCGTACAACTCCATGCCAAATCAGATAGAGCATTTGCCATATTCGATTATCTCCCTCCAACCATCCATCGCAGCCGCAAGTTCGACGTCTGTTTCTCTGACGCAACTCTATGAAGCTTCGGTTTCGCTCTGCACAACAAGGTTCAAAAGTGAATACTTAACCATCAGATATTGTTTTCCCCCGCGACGAAGCAAGCCTTGTTACAAGATTGAAATGCTTTTGATCAAAAAATTTTCCTCCACTTCTTAATTCTTCCCTCTTTCCTCATTGGCGACAAAAACTTGGGGTTCTTGCGACCAAACTCGCAGAATCAAAATCAAAATCCGATTTCAAATGTACACTGAAGGAACCGCCAGTTTTTCTCTCCCTATGCCTGGCCTTTAGTTCTGCCCTTAATTTTCCGTCTTCCTCAGATTTACAACAAAGGAAGCTAGTTCGATAGAACAAAGAGATGGCTTACCACTGCGAGCTCGACGAAGTGAGCTCAACGGATTTGGATTAACAAAAGGCGAGGAAGGTCGAAGGCAGAGCACATCGGAGCCAGTTGGTGGGATTGGAAGCATGGTGGATTGAATAATCCTAGGAATGGATGTCCCTTCAATTTTTGGGAAGAACGAATTTCGATAAATTTATTTAGGAATTAGGAGTTAGGACGGCACCGAAGTCCGAGAGAGAGACTGATTTCTTGTACCGAAAAGAAAAAAAGACGCATTTCCTTGGCAGTCCTGTAACCAAACATGACCTGGAAGACGATGACGATGCTTCTTTTTTCCTCAAGTAACTGATAAGCAAACCATTTCAAACTTGTATAGAAATATTATGTGACTTTGGAGAACAAAATGCAAATAAAATATCGTCCAGAGCCACAACAAGAAGTGATTACTGACGTATACATCAAATTTTCTTTGTACTTGAGAAAGAACGTTATGAATACTTTGACATGAAAACCACCATTTGTATACATGTTAAAAGCATATTCTTGGTTAGGACTCTGACTAAATTGAAAATCAAGCCACAACTCTACATGTCTCTAAAGTCTAAACCATCCATCGCAGTACCAATATGTGTTGGCATCACTTTCACTGAAGCAACACTATAAGGCTTCATTTTCACTACTCTGCATAACAAGGTTCAAGAGTGAATACTTAACCATCAGACATATTTTCCCATACTGCACAGCAAGCCTTGCTCCAGACACAACCCAATACCCCGGTGAATCTTTTGGTCCTCTCACCATCTCCGTCGTGTCAACAAATTTCAGAAGCTTCGGCGTGTGCACAGGCAGTGGCCGTGCTGCTGTGTACGTGGTTGACCCAATAGTCACATCTCCTGGCTTTGGATGACCCTTTTGTTTCTCATTAGTGATTAATAGTCCACATAATCCTAATGGCTTGTGGTCCAAGTTATCGACATTCGACTCCCATTCTGGTTTATTCTGCAAAGCAGATCCGAGTACTTTGGAGAAGCGCAGGCGTAGAAAGAGGCATTTGTTCTCAACTTGTAACTGAGCTCCAGTGACTATGGAGAGAGCATCATCTGACTCTACTGGTGCAGTGCAGACAAATGCAAGGCTATTCCAGCGAACCTTCTGATGGGATGTACAATTATAAGAGTTACATGACAAATAAGCATTTTCATTGTCTGAAAGTGGGAAGGACTTTGGTAGAGAAGCCAGATGCTGCAAGTGAATTGCTAAGCGGTTGCTTCTTCTCCCTTCTAACTGTAATCTCAAGCCTATTACGGGTCTGTTACCCACATCAACCTGCCATTGAACCAAAATGAACATGTCACAGACATTTATCAGCAGTATTACTAGCTTGCCATTTACATCAAGGATTCTTGATAACAGTTTAATTTTTTCAAGCCTATTACTAGCTCCTTGCCATTTATTACTAGGATGGGTCTTATATTAGTCATTGCATCAGATGTTCTAATAAATCTAACATCAAACCATATAAACGACACAAAGGAAGAGCAATTGTTCTAATAAAGGAAACGGATGATTCGTTTCAGCTCATACAGTTTCAACAAGTGCGCTGATCAACTAGTGATGTCTTTACAATATTGGCAACGAAAAGATGGGAAACAGGTATGAGAAACTTGTATGTTTGGATCTTTGGCTATGATCACAATAGCCTATAAGCCGTAATGCTCAAACAAGGTAATCAAGACAAATGCTCAAATAAGGAATAAATAAATGATAGACCTTGAGTAAAATTAGCCATAGTAGATTTTGATTGTTATGACGAATACACGAGGTCTTAGAGAATAAGATAGCTCCTTAGCCTTTCATGATTCAGCCCATCAAAGAGCGTTAACTCTTTTCTAGCATTCAAGAAACCAATAATTCAAGTCATTAAGTGGAACAACAGTCACATGCATAATCATAAAATACTACCTCCATTTCTAATTATAAAACCCCATTTGTAGTTTAAATGAGGTCTTATATTTAGGACTGGAGGTAGTACATCTTAAGATAATGTGTATCTTGATAATTAATATGGATACATGACTTTGGCCAACTACTAATGAATGTACCATTATTGATGATTATAATTAAGATTTATTTCAACTTTTAATACAGACCATATTTCATCATGTTTATTATTATTCGTCTAGCAAAGACTGTGTCTTGTCATGTGGTCATTAGGTCTATATCAAGTTTATCATAAATTTAACGGGGAGACAAAGTTATGTCTCTTCATTACTCTCTAGCTTCTAGGAAGCATGGGAAATCTTCATTATTCACAAAAACAGATAAAGAGCTTACTGGAATTGTGTCTATGTAAAGCTTAGGACCAAAGAAACCAAATGTTAGCCAGGTGTTGACTTGTTGCTTCCAACGAGCACCAAGCCGTATTTCATTGAGAACGGGAGCCCAGTGTCTTGGAAGCTGAAACTCAAAAAACTGATGCAGGTCTTCGATTGGAGGTTTACCTGTTTCAGGAGCAATCAGTTTAATTCAGATTCAGTTTATCCAATTTCAGAAGGAGTTTATTGCGTATGCTTTCTTGAAATTCACAGGTTTTTCAAGTGATGTGCAAAATAAACCAAACAAGTCCACTGCTTACATTGAAGATATAAATTTAGGGCATGGCACACAAATCCACTTCCACGAATGCTTCTCAAGAGGGATGTCAATGGAACAAGAAACATGGAGATGACATCAGGTTCCAAGTCAACAGTATCAAACCATTCCTTATGATGCAGCGTCTCAGTGCTTCCACCCCTCCTACTGCTTATTACAACCACGTTCTGCGAACACATGAAAAATTCATCATGCGTTCTTGTCAGGAAATTAAGGTATTGGAAAAAGGTCCAGAAGAAAATTTGTATGCTGGATGAACAAATGACGCGATGTGATTTGGTTGTTTATAGAGCACAATAGCGTGATGTAATCCGTGCAGCTGACCTCACCTAGTGAGATAAAGCCTGTTGTTGACTTGTTGTTGGATGAAACAAATGCGTACACGAGCAGGATATTGAACAAATTTAAAGTAACTGAACAAATGGTGAATAAAATATAGGTGTAAAATACCTCTCCATTGTAACTTGTGTCTTCTGAAGTCAAACTACTATTTTCTGCAGAGCCCATAAACCTCATGTCAGCTTTATCCTTCAAAAGTTTTTGGAGATCAGTGGGTTGGAGGTTTGATGAATGTGATTGCCTCAAATATAACACATCCTTTCCTCCCATGCTCACCCCAACTACAACATGAGTTCCAAACTCCTCTATAAACCTTGCATGATTTAATAGAAATCAACGTTATCATTGTGAAGCCTCTTAATAATTTCCATAGTCTTCAAATAAATCATGTTCCCACACACACTTTCCTCAGCTCAAATACATCTTATCACAAGTATTTGGGTGAAAAAAGATAGCATTGAATGTAGCAAGTGCTTTCCATCAAAGTTTCTAAATGAAATTGAGAAGAAAAAGGAAGCTTTTAACATCATAAAAGGTAGTAAATTTGTTCCATTAACTAGCATTGTTGGATGGTGATTTCACAGATTCTCACCTTGCCAAAGCCTCAGGGTCCCATGATGATGGAACAGCTTCTTTGACATGATCCTTAAGTTCTCCTTGATGTTTTTCAAGTTCAATAGTATAGCGTTTGATGAACCATCCATCATAAGCAAGAGATTTTATGCTATCCAATTCTTTTATACAGCGATCAGATATCCCAAATGAAGCACAGAAATTCCCAGACGCAGTTCTACCTCCTAAGCACATTTCTTCGTTGAAGTGCTCCAACATCTGAAACAGAATGCAGGAATTTGATCCTCAAAGACACAGACGTTTGACATGCTAAACATGAATTTCTGCAACCATAACTAACATACCTGCTGTAAGGAAAGAACATCAGAATGGATTTTTAGAGATTCACCTCTGACACATTTGATGGAGATGGGGACGTTTGGAATTGAAACCCCACCTGGAATCTCCAGATTACGGCTCTGTTCTTCAATGATAACGATCAAACTCGGACCCCCCTTGCAGTTGTTGAAAGATATGTCGTGGGTTATGTCAAATCCCAGGCCAATTGAGCCAATGGCTTTCTGGGCTGCTCGTAGGCGTGAATCTCTCGATGCCATTGCTGAATTTGAAGGTTTATCAATGAAGAAAGATTTGAGAAACAGAAGAAACCATTACATTCAGTTCTGAAACATTCATTTTGAGTTTCACGGATCAACACTAAGGAGCAATAGTTAAAGTTGCTCCAACTTCCAAGGGATGACGTTTACTTTGGGGTCTACTTCTGTGAAGAGGAAGCAGCTAAGAAGCAGATCAAATTTCCTTTTTTCCTCCTTTTTTTCCCTTCGAGAGGACAAGAAAGAGTGCAATTTTCTCAGAACGTTTGATCTTTTTATTTTGAAAAATAAAAAAAAATATGTTTTTAAAAACTGAAAAACGAAAAATCCAAAATAACTTTTATATGATTTCTGATTTCTGATTTTGTGTTTTTTTAATTTTTTTTTTGGAGAAACATTTGAGAAATTTTTGTCTCTTCTCCTTTACTACCTACTACTTATTACTACTGATAATAATTATTACTTGTTAAAGTGTAATTATTTATATTTTTTTCAAATATGATTTTTTTAAAAGTTATTTTCCAAACAAAGTTTTTTATTTTTTGTTTCCAAAACTTGTTCTTAAAAATAATTTTATAAAATTATTTTAAAAATAAGAAAACAAAGAACAAAAACAAACAAGCCCTATATTTCTCCCCTGGCAATATCAATATGGCATGGATATGGCATGGTTTCATTAGTCTAAAACTCGCCAAACCACTTTATGAATTAATAATGACATTTTTTAGTTTGAAGAGTTTCGGACAATAATTTTGAATATTTTGATCCTATTTACTGGTCAAAAAAAAAAAATCCAGCAAAGCATACTAGGAGAGTACCCCAGAAGTCAGCCTCGTGATCCATTGGCCACAAGACATCCCACGTGGTCACATTCGACCTACAAAGATGCGCGTGATTGTGTGTCATGTGTGCATATAACAAACGGCGCGTTTGGAATCACCGTTATAAGTATTTATAAATAAGTTATAAAATTTTTTATATATATTTATCTCGTGTTTTTTAAATTATAATTAAAAAATTATTTATAAATTATTTCAGACAAGCCCTAAAACTTGTATAAGTCAACATTTTATTGTCCAGATGGCAAAAACACTTTTATTAATGCCTTTTTTAATCCACCTTTTTTATACACTTCTTAAGTTTTTTTTTTTGAAATACTACCTCCGGTCCTAATTATAAGACCCAGTTGACTTATTTGAGGAGATTAAGGAAGTAAGTTAAGTTAGTTATTTGTAATAAATAAGTGTTGTCATTCTTAAAATATCCTTGTTAATTAAGTATATTGACTAGAACTATCATTATTAGAAGGATTATCTTGGAAAAAAATGTATAAATATGAGAGACAAAATGGATTGGGGTCTTATAATTAGGACCAAACAAAAAGTCAAACGGGATCTTATAATAAGGACCAGAGGTAGTATAAGATTATGAGTTTTAAAATGACTGGTGACGCATTTTTTTAAAATTTATTAATTATTATAACTATATAATTATGTCATTTCTCAAATCTCATTTGAAAATCTTAAAAAAAAAAACACACATATTATTTATTTGGTGTTTTTAATTAAATATTTCAAGAAAAAACATGAATTTTTTTTTTTTTGCATCTTGTATGAAAGAAAACCAGGAAAAATTAGAAAATAAAAAAATAGATGAATTTAGTAGAGTAAACAAGACTTTCCCATCCATATCCAGTGAATTACCAACCAAACATATGTTATACATGCACACAGACACACATATAACAACAGCAAGTGGAATTAACTACACATACTGTACTACGTTATCGTGCTCTGTCAACCGTTATACGGGTGTCCATACAGAGGCATTAAAAGTGAAAACAATGGACAGGCCTTAGGTGGGGTGGGGGAAGATAGATTATTTGACTGATTCCAAAAGGCAGAAAGAAGGTTGGATACGGCATGAGACCAGGTCGGCGAGAGCCAGAGCCCAGAACCAACCAGGGGACACGGACACGTTCATCAAAAATCTCATTTCCGTTATTCTCTTTTTTATTATTATTCAAACCAATCACCAAGTTCGTATCTTTGTTCCTGCTTTCTTTTCTTTTCTTTTCTTTCTTTCTTTCTTTCTTTCTATTTTCTCAACTCATCCGGCAGTACCTACGAAGCAAGCCGCCAGAATTCATCCCCCCCCCCCCCAACCCCATTTATGTTCAATGTATTGGAAAATTCCTTTTGAGAATTAAGAGCAGGGAAAAGCACATGCTTTATGCATGATCTCAAGATAATGTGTAAGTTCTTTTTTTCCTATTTAATTTCTTTGTTAAAAAAGATTTTTTCCAATTGTCTATTTCGATGTGAGATTATCTTTTGTGGCATGTTGTTATTATTAATTAATTAATTAATTAATTAATATAGTTATCTGATAGAAGGCTTAAAACGTTGAATTTCAACCTTAGGAATAAGCGTCTTTTTTTTTTTTTAACAAAGTCTAATTCATTTAAAATAAAAGAGAGCTTCTTGTTTTTTTTCCCCTTTTTTTAGGCCAACGCTCATACAATTAGGCCTCTTAAGGGCCGGCGCATTAGAATCAAGTCAATCTTAATTGACATTGATTAAGAGCTAATGGTAGAATGTGGGAGATGAGGATAAAATTTTTGTAACCACGTGGATTAGTTAAACAGGTTTTTTTTAAAAAAAATAATAATAATAATGCAACTACAGGTACAGCACTTACAAACAAAACACCTGCAAAACCAAACGCCACCTGCTACTTCCCTTTAATCTCCAATCCATGTTCTTAATGAAACCACCCCTCCTAATATAAACACCAAACTACAAACACGAAATTAAAGATCTTTCGGTTGAACATGAGTAAGTAGTACTATGTCCGGTTCGTAATAAAAGAAGTAGTTGATTAATTTAAATAGATTAAAAAAAATCTACCTCCAATCCTTAATATAAGAGGTAGTTGATTAATTTAAATAGATTAAGAAAAAAAATGTACCTCCAGTTTTTAATATAGGAGATAGTTGATTAATTTAAATAGATTAAGAAAGTTTGTTAAGTTAGTTATTTGTAATAAATAAGTGTTATCTTCTCTAGAATGTTTTTGCTAATCATATCTATTAGTTAGAACTCCATTTAATAAAAATTTTAACATGTGCAATTACTATAAGAACTATTTTGAAAAAAATAAAAAATGTGATGAGAAACAAAGTATATTAGAGTCTTATATTTAAGACCAAATTAAATATCAAACTAGTTTTTATATTAAAAATCGAAAAATATTACCCATGCAAAAAATTCTACTTTATAATGCTGCATGATTGGGGGAAAAAAAAACCCACTAAGAAATTATTTTTTTTGGGTAAAAACCCACTAAGAAATTGATGGAGAAGCTAATGCCACTAACTTTACTTTCGAAGAAGGATAAACGGACTTCTATTCAATTTGGATTTGAATGGATCGGACATAAATTTAATATTAAGTCGATTGAGAGTCCTACATTGATGATAAGAGTTCTGGGAATATTCGGAAATTTCATTAAAGCTATATTTGATGATGATGGGGACCTAGGATCCAGACCCAACAACTTGCAAAAATTATAATTAATGTGCAAACTTTTTAAAATAAAATTATTTTTTGCATCCTATTATTAACAATTTTTAGTTATTTGTCATTTTTAAAATATTGTAGTCTTGAAATATAATTGAGTTCATTTTTTTTCTCTCCCGATTGCCCCTTTTTGATTTCCCAATCAATATTTATATCCTACACCTAAAATAATGCATTGCATGCCCTTTAATATACTTTCCCCAGTCCTCAGTATAAAAGTTAGTTTAACGTTTAATTTGATTCTAAATATAAAATTCCAATTCACTTTGTCTTTTATATTTATCTATTTTTTTTGAGATAATCATTGTAATAGTTGCATATGTCATATATTTCATAAAATGGTGGTCTCGTTAAATGATTAGTACTAATTTTCTTAATCTATTTAAAAACGGCAGTTCCTCAGACTTCGACCTGTTTATCCATTTGCCAATCCCCTCGTGATTATGGGGAAGGACTTGAATGCTACTAAGAGAAGGCTTGAAAGACAATTTCCAATTGTATGGAGAATGGAGCACGAGGCTGCTTCAAAAATAGAGCTTTTTTTTTTTTTGAAGAAATAATAATTTTAAAAAGTTCAAAATATGTGAAATGAATTTTGTTTTGAGAGTTATGTGAAAAAACTGCCCCTCATATTTTTAATTAAAACCAATTATAAACTTCTTAATCACATTCTTTCTGACAAACAGCTCTCATATATAAACTTGATTTATAAGGATCACGTCTAAAAGAATTGATTTAATCAAAATGAAGAATCTGGATAAATTTTCAAGAAAATATAATTAAAAATCAGAATTAAAAAAATAAGTAATAGTGGCTTATGAAATAATTCTAATTTTTTCAATTCATAATTGATATTGATGTATAAACGTATGGGATGTTTGAATTTTATTAAAAAGAGGATTATAATATGATTTGCTCTTTTGTCCCCCCCCCCTCCCTCCCCGGTCAGAGATACGGAAATAACTCAAGTTATATACGTTAAAGACAAAAACGATTTCGCATATCTGTATGAGTGCAAGGATTAGTATAATACCTCAATGATGAGGCGGAGATGCCCCAGGCAGCCCTCAAGGGCTGACTTTCTCTGGAAACAAGCCGTCACCTACCAATGTGAAACATAAACTAATCAATAGAAATATCTCTGCTCAAAGTTCAGACCTGTACTAGTTTGACCAGCCATCTTGCATGTACCTTGGGGGCACCGAAAAGCGAAAACGATATTTAAATCATCTTTAATGTTCACCTTTGGTTGTAGACCCTTTCTTCTCTAGTTTGGTAGATTCTCAACAAGTCTCGATTTCCACGGAAAACCCATCACTGTTCGTGTTTGTTTTGTAGATTTTCTGGGAACATTTTCAGGAAAGATTAGGTTTCTAAGCCTGCTCTGGTCTCTGCTTTGAGTTTGATCAAAGGTGATGAGAGCGTGGTAAGGAAAAATGTCAGCGAAGGCCTTGGACCCAAAGAGATTGGCTGAAGCTTCCATAAAATCTATTG